TTTTTAGCTGATCTCTTTTTAGCTGAATAACTTAAAGGGTTTTTTGATTGTCTTCCGATGGCTAAAAATAATATCTGAAAACTCGGAAAAAAAAGAAACTCATTTAATTTGGTGAATTTATTTTTTAGATAATAAATAATTTATGGGAAGTATAATTATACTCTTACGCGATTTGGACAATTTTTCTGTTATATTGTGTGTGCGAGTGTGAGTGAGAGACGTTTCTTTATTTAGTACTTCAACGGACTAAACGTAATGTTAATTCTTGATGGGACTATATGTTTGTAGGAACACGAAAACGCAAGCATTGGTTATGATGATTTACAAAGAGAAAGCACAGAAAAATTTGTGACCAACATAATATTGGTTTAATCCGTTGAAGTCCTTAAGTCATTGGGGTTGAACTTTCACATCATTAACTTCAATAAGGCAGGTGCGGGCGTCGGTCGGCACCTACGAGACTGTGCGGGCGTACGTGAACTTATAAGAGACTGTGTGTGCGAGTTTGTACGTGGAAGTATAATATAGTGCGTGTGTTTGTGACCGCGTGGACGTATAAGATTCTGTGTTTGTGAGCGCGTGGACGTACAAGATTCTGTGTTTGTGAGCGCGTGGACGTACAAGATTCTGTGTTTGTGAGCGCGTGGACGTACAAGATTCTGCGTCTGTGAGCGCGTGCGCCTGTAAGATTCTGCGTCTGTGAGCGCGTGCGCCTGTAAGATTCCGCGTCTGTGAGCGCGTGCGCCTGTAAGAATCCGCGTCTGTGAGCGCGTGCGCCTGTAAAGATTCCGCGTCTGTGAGCGCGTGCGCCTGTAAGATTCCGCGTCTGTGAGCGCGTGCGCCTGTAAGATTCCGCGTCTGTCAAGATTCCGCGAGCGCGTGCGCCTGTGATTCCCGCGTCTGTGAGCGCGTGCGCCTGTAAGATTCCGCGTCTGTGAGCGCGTGCGCCTGTAAGATTCCGCGTCTGTGAGCGCGTGCGCCTGTAAGATTCCGCGTCTGTGAGCGCGTGCGCCTGTAAGATTCCGCGTCTGTGAGCGCGTGCGCCTGTAAGATTCCGCGTCTGTGAGCGCGCGTGCGCGTCTGCGCGTGCACCTGTAGATTCCGCGTCTGTGAGCGCGTGCCTGTAAGATTCCGCGTCTGTGAGCGCGTGCGCCTGTAAGATTCGCGCGTCTGTGAGCGCGTGCGCCTGTAAGATTCCGCGTCTGTGAGCGCGTGCGCCTGTAAGATTCCGCGTCTGTGAGCGCGTGGACCTGTAAGATTCCGCGTCTGTGAGCGCGTGGACCTGAAAGATCCTGCGTCTGTGAGCGCGTGGACCTGAAAAGATCCTGCGTCTGTGAGCGCGTGGACGTATAAGCGATGCGCGTTCTCGCGTCTGAGCGCGTGGACGTATGGGGATGCGCGTTTGTGAGCGCGTGGACGTATAAGGATGCGCATTTAGAGCACGTGGACGTATAAGGATGCGCATTTGTGAGCACGTGGACGTATAAGGATGCGCATTTGTGAGCACGTGGACGTATAAGGATGCGTGTGTGTCGACGTATCACAGTGTGCGTGTGTGTCGACGTATCACAGTGTGCGTGTGTGTCGACGTATCACAGTGTGCGTGTGTGTCGACGTATCACAGTTTGCGTGTGTGTCGACGTATCACAGTTTGCGTGCTCGTCGACGTATCGGCGTGTGTCGATATGTGTGTGTATGTACAGGGACGTGTGCGTGTGTGTCGACGTATGTCAGTGTGCGTGTTTGTCGACGTATGTGTGCGTGTTTGGACGTATCAAGTTTGCGTGTGTGTGTGTGTGTGTGTGTGTGTGTGTGTGTACGGGGACGTAAAAGGTGTGTGTGTGTGTGTGTGTGTGTGTGTGTGTGTGTGTGTGTGGGACGTACGGGGACGTAAAAGTGTGTGTGTGTGTGTGTGTGTGTGTGTGTGTGTGTGTGTGTGTGTACGGGGACGTAAAAGAGTGTGTGTGTGTGTGTGTGTGTGTGTGTGTGTGTGTGTGTGTGCACGGGGACGTAAAGGAGTGTGTGTGTGTGTGTGTGTGTGTGTGTGTGTGTGTGTGTGTGTGCAGGGGACTGTGTACAGGGACGTAAAGTGTGTGTGTGTGTGTCTGTGTACGGGGACGTAAAAGAGTGTGTGTGTGTGTGTGTGTACGGGGACGTAAAAAGTGTGTGTGTGTGTGTCTGTGTGTGTGTGGGGACGTAAAAGAGTGTGTGTGTGTGTGTGTCTGTGTGGGGACGTAAAAGTGTCTGTGTGTGTGTGTGTGTCTGTGTACGGGGGACGTAAAAGAGTGTGTGTGTGTGTGTGTGTGTGTGTGGGACGTAAAGGGAGTGTGTGTGTGTGTGTGTGTCTGTGTACGGGGACGTAAAAGAGTGTGTGTGTGTGTGTGTCTGTGTACGGGGACGTAAAAGAGTGTGTGTGTGTGTGTGTGTGTGTGTGTACGTGGACTTAAAAGAGTGTGTGTGAGTTTGTACGTACGTGGACGTAAAAGAGTGTGTGTGTGGTAATGTACGTTGACGTAAAAGAGTGTGTGTGAGTGTGTACGTACGTGGACGTAAAAGAGTGTGTGTGTGTGTGTACGTACGTGGACGTAAGAGAGAGAGAGTGTTTGTGTCCGTACGTGGACGTAAGAGAGAGAGAGTGTGTGTGTACGTACGTGGACGTGGGAGAGAGAGAGAGTGTGTGTGTACGTACGTGGATGTAAGAGAGAGAGTGTGTGTACGTACGTGGACGTAAGAGAGAGAGAGTGTGTGTGTACGTACGTGGACGTAAGAGAGAGAGAGTGTGTGTGTACGTACGTGGACGTAAGAGAGAGAGAGTGTGTGTACGTACGTGGACGTAAGAGAGAGAGAGTGTGTGTGTACGTACGTGGACGTAAGAGAGAGAGAGTGTGTGTGTACGTACGTGGACGTGAGAGAGTGTGTGTGTGTGTGTGAATATGCGGAATTGGGAGAGAGAATTTCCCTTTCTATGTGCATGTGAGAGTGAGAGAATGTGTGTTTGCGTGTATATGTGAGAAATAAATATTGCGTGTTTGTGTTTGGACGTGAGAGAGTTTTTTTTTTTTTTTATTCATTTGACCAAGGCGATAATGCCACTAGGACGCAAGCTGTCATAGAGACTGATATTGGACGAGCCTTTTGTGTGAACAAATGAGGAAAACGACAAATTAACTGATTCAGGAAGAAATGTGGTTATTGACGTTTCATTTAAATTTTTGGAGGCGATAAATGCCACGGAAGCATGATATCGGGCGGGTTTTTTCACAGGCGTTTAAAAACAAATTCTACAAGAAAATTACGGTCGGTTGCATATATCCATTTCAAGAGAAAAACAAGAAAAGACATTCTTGCCATTCTAATAGCAGGCATAACTTCAAGAATTCGTGGCATGAGGAAAATTTACCATTACATTATTTGTAGAACAAATAGAAGTGAAGTTGCGTTGATGAGAAAGTAGCTCAAGTCAAGATGCCAGGTCAAGATAGGGTATATTTCAGATCCTTTAAATTTTGTCAAAAATCTGGATAAATATAGTAGGGGCAACTAAACAGATAAGGCAACAGCATTCAATATACGGACAAATTGTAGATTAATAAATGTGTAATATCTATTCTAACGAGAAAACATGTCACAGCACAAACTAAATTTTTCTCACAGTAGACGATCAATTGCCTTATTGTCATCATTCCACTTTACACGAATTTACCCATCGCTGTTCAACATTTCTCTGTTGGGTAGGGGATTGCACTACATATATTCTGAGAAAAGGTGACAAAAGTGGAGGAGTGCTTTAGCTAAGTAGAGGCAGAGAAGATTATTATTTATTCGCAATGATGTGACGTAAATCAGATTTTAGGCGATTGTGTCACAGATCGATTTATAGATGTGGCTATTTTGTTATCGGGGTTGTTACTTGAAGTGTTTGCAAACACTTCCAGATTTTTTGCTTGCAATATTTTCTACATTTGTGCGTGATTTATTGCAACACTTCAAATGCATATGTGTTGATGTTAAAAAGAAAATTAGTTGCTACCACCGCGATAGAAAAATTAGCAATATTAACAGCTCCGGCACGTTTGCAAGACCCTCGAACGAAACGAGTTGAAAGCAAACTCGCGAAATTCAAAGAATTAGTGAGCAAGTAAAAAAAATGCGAATCAAAGAGAAAAAAAATACATGCGTCCATTGAAGAAAAGGATTTTCTGTGTCAGCAGAAGGGAGGTGTAAGGGATTTTGTGGTCTGAATGCGTGGAAGAAAAATCATTTTCCAATTGCAAAGAATACTGCATTAAGAAAACCGCCTATGGGCCTAGTCGATATATTCACAGTTATATAAATATGATGCAAAACATCATTTTAGTTCATACTAGCAGCATGGACCGGCGTGGCCCGTGCTCGATTCAAAAATCGTACGACTCATACAGCAATCGCTATCACTTAAATTATTTTTGCCCTTCCTTGCCTTTAAAGGAGTGCCCTTTGCCGTGCTAATGTTGCTACATGCCTTCTTGCCTATCTCAAACTGCGAATTTTTTCTAAGCTCTATAGTAAACATTAAATCTGTTACGAAAAAAGAACTAAACAAAATGAACACAAAATGATCAGCTTTAAAAAAGGACTCGTAACTGGAAAAACCGAATTAAAAAAATGTTAACAACAAATAATTTTTCACACCCAACCCAGTTCTGCGGAATCAGAATCAACGTTGAGTTTAAGCAAGCGAATGAGCCAATTGGAGTAAAGTGCCATGCAGATTTAATTTTTTCCCACTTGTGACGAATGCAGCTATCGATTTTTTTTGCATGCTAGCATGCTAGTTAACATTCGTGTCAGTCAGCTGTTGGCTCTCACACTGGCCAATAGAATATTCCTGCCTATTTGTGGCAGCCACCTATACGCTCTCAGTAATAAATGGCCGCAAACTACATCAAAACTGCCGTAGAAGCATGAAAAATCGATTATTTCCACTATCGATGGGAGTTGAGAAATGCAAAGTCGGTCTTGGCCTTCGCGCTAACTTGGAGCATGTGCATGTAAATTTTGGTGCAAATCCGTCGAAAATTGAAGCCGTGCATTCGTTACACACACGCGCGCGCGCGCACACACACACACACACAGCCTTTTATAGATAGAGATATTTATTCTTATAGAATAAATTGAAGAATTGAGAAACGGGAAAATGCCATGTGCTCATCCTGCCTTGATTTCCTACGTCGAAAGCGCTCTCATGGCTGAGAAAAACACTCGTGTTCTATAGATATCCCATTCCGTGACCCACGCTGACTATAGGTTAATACCTGCCCAATAACGTTTATATGCAAATAGGCAGCGTCACCTACTCTAAGTAGGTCTTCTCCCAACAGTCTATTGTGGAAGAGGAAGCAAATCTTGGTGCTTACAGCAGCACATCCAACCAACACGGAGTCGTTTATCGGACTGTCTCGATTCTCTGTTACATACTATCAAAAACACGGAAAAGACGGTTGAAATACTATGTAATGTCAATCCGTAGTAATTTAGGGTATTGCATGCTGGACGGTTTCATCACAGATGAAAAGAAAACTTTAGCAACTCAAATTTGGTTCTAGAGAAAAAGTCTAACAATATTATGGAGCAAGCATGCAAGAATTGATTAAATTTCGATTAAAATGTAAACAAAAATATTTGCTTAGAATCAGAAAGTAACAGTTGAAATGTCTGGAAATAATGTCGAAAAGCCATGATACTCACAGAATATATTGAAGATGGAAAGAGAGTAACGAATCTAGAGCGATCAGATAAATGGAGTTCAAACAGAGATTGGGAAACAGAAAACAGTCAAAAATAATCAGAGAATAGGAAATTAGAGACCTATGGAGGCCCACACCCTGAATGGACACGTCACATAAAAGTTATAATTCACAGATATTAATCGATAACATTTGACCCAATAAATTTTCATGAAGCATAAAGAAAAATCGGATACATTGACGAAATATTGAAAGAAATCCTGTTCAACTCTAGATAACCAATTTATTGTCATGTAATATTTTATAATTAAATAAGTAAGATCTACCTCGGGTACGTCCTTCGTAGAAATTATGTTCTATATGTAGAATATTTGCCTAACAATTTCAAGGTTATATTGGCGAACACGATTTATTTCTCCTGTTGAATTAATTTATCCTCTAAATATTCACATTTATTAGGTTAAATTCAAAAATAAATATATCCGGATCATCATTTTCATGACTACCCAAATTTCTTATGTTTTTCTTCTCTCAGAAACGGGCATTTGCCGTTCTGTCATTTTTCTATACAACTTAGTTACATCGATTCATCGATGTTTTCCCTTGTTTCACTTGTTCTGTGTCGCCTTCTCTAGAGAAAGTTTCTTCAGATGTTCGAGAAAATTCAAATCTCTCGAAGTTTCTAATATGATTTCCTTAGTTTCCGTATTATTTTAAACGTCCTCGTTATTCAAATATT